GATTGGACACCCCTGAACTAGATAATGCATTTTGCAGGAGAATAGAAACCTCCAGCTCTCCTTGATTTCCATAGGACAACATACAACTTTTATAGGTCAAAATCTTTTAAACTGGCTGAAATTGGACTATAAATGTAATCATGGTCTTGGGAGCAGTTTCATCTCTTTGTACATTTAACAATCTGGGCTTTTTTGAATTAAAGATATGGAAAACACATGCACATATACATAATGTGTCATTTTGAAAAAAAAAATCAAGCTAACTCTTTGACCATTCTCTTCAGAGACAGAACAATTACCTTTCACAATATTCTATCCTTATGGTCTGCATGTTGATTTAGTTTAGGGATCAATGTGAAGTGAGTTCCATATTTTGGCCACAAATTTATATTAATGATTCTAGATGGTATAGTTTTGCCTCTGAGTCCCATCACAACAGCTTTCTCCTGCTTTACCGTCATGTGGAAGCAACCAGTGACATGCCTCATAGGCCAGAAGGTTCTGATATCTGCCTTAGCCCAGCTGGCTGATGTTGAACTGAAGCCTTCCTCACTGCTTTCATGAGGAAACAAATAGAAGGCTCCCACCCATCAATCTGAGCTCCAAGGAAAAAGAAAGGGATTAGAATACAATGAGTATAAAGCCTTCTCTATACAATTCATAGTGACATCCATAAGGGCCCCTTCCTCCTATTTTCCCCACAACAATAACCCTGTGAGGTGAGTTGGACTGAGAGAGAATAACTGGCCTAAGTCACCAAGCCAGATTTCATGGCTAATGGAAGATTGTAATTTACAACCATCTGGCTTCTAATCCATCTCCTTAAACATGATTACACCAAACTATTTTTTATCAATAGTCTTTCCTGCTCAGTTTTTGATGTGTCCTTCCAGCAGTTTCTGCCAACAGTAATGCCTTCTTACCTGAGTAAGCATCATGGTCATGATCAAGAGTAGTGAACTGTCGGCCATTGTGCCAGGAGAGAGAGTCTCCAGCACTGCCTTGATATTTTCCCAGCTGGAGCCGATAGAAGTCACTCTCGGGCTCCAGAGCAAAGGTATTGTATTCAGCCTGAGCCTGTCGCCCACTCCAGTCTTCCATTAATACACGCAACATATATGAACCCTGGTGGGTCAGCAAGTGAATGGATTCCAGGCCCAGCCAATGCTCCCCTTCCAGGTTTCCAAAACCATTCTAAGAAAAACACAGCAAGAAAATGATTAGTAAAGTGCCCTTAAGGCAGATAACTCTCTCTGGAATACTTCTGTAGTGGGAAATTAGGGATTTCATTCACAGAACATGCACTCATACAATGCCTGGTCAATATCCAAAATAATCTGCCATCTGGGTTCAACCCCATCTCCTTCCTTTGCAAAGATATCATCTGGAATCTCTGGAGCCATCAGGATGCTTAAGAGAACATCCCTATATCCCTGGTATGCTAGTAAGGCAAAATGTGTATTTTTGGCTTAATGTGTTTTGTCTACCATGGTTTATAGCTTAACATTTTGGAAGAAGCCATCCATTTTGGCTTTCTCAAGAACTAAAGTACAAACAATCTTAGTCTGGATAACCCAATTCCTTCTCATTGAAGATAAATATAAATTTATATTCATTTTTCTATAATGATAACCAGGTCCCAAAGTACATACGCCTGAGTCTTTTGCTTTGAGGTTTGTGCATGCTACTTATAACCTTCCACTGAAGTTCAGTTTATGAACCTGGCTCCTAGCTTCATCATGTATGGCTCTTCATCTCAGCCTTGCTGTGTGACTTCAGCTCTCTAATGCTAACTTCAAGTAAGCGTGCATCCTGCAATTCCCTCCACCTAACTGTACCCACAATTTGGGTATTCTTCCACCTCACAGCTTCTCTCTTTGTGGGGGCACAAGGAGCCACATCCTCCAACCTTGTAATGCTGCCAGGTGGTAAAGAAATTGACTGATCCATCCTGCCGTCGCTGGATGACCGTCCAACCACCTCCATCGTATTCCTGGTCACACCAGACCTGGATGATACCCTGGGCATGAGCTGGTTGTAGCATGATGATGCCACTGGGTTGGCCATCTTGTTGAGCTGCTTGGCAGTCAGACCAAGGCCCTGCACAGGAAACAAAATAAAGCTTATTCCAAAATGACTGATGCTGTTTTGACTTCTAGAAAAACACCACATACTTTGCCTTGTGGCAGGCATGCCTTTAACCATAAACCACATTTTCCACAGAAAGATTCAGATGGAGGGGATGTCTCCTCTGCACCAAGGTCCTCCTATATACTAGGAAGCCATGCTCTGGCATTTAGGTCCTCGTCAGCTTTGAAAGCCTACCAACAAATCACTGGTTTCTCTTAGCAAATATTGTTTGATGCTCAGCCAAGCTAGACCATCTGATCAAGGGCTTGGATCTCCAAGATGAAAAGGATGGGACGTAGTTTCAGTGTAGACTGCAATCTTTTTTATTTTTATTGGGTTCTGGTCAACAGATGCTTTGTGGAAGGAGCAGGAGGCCCCATGAACAAGTAAGGGTGAACAGTATTGGGTGGGGAGAGGCTATAAAGCCAACACTCTGCATTAAGAGTATGAGTACTTCTTCTAAACTATAATAAGCTTTTCATAGTGGTTTATAATTATACTTCAACTTTCAAAGCCAAACTAATAAATCTGAGGAATGGAAGATCCTTACTTGGCAGTCTAAAAGTATATGAGGAATAACATGAAGCACTAGCAGTTTATATTTTGGGCCAGGGGATAAGGAATGAAGAAAAAAGTCATGAATTGTTTTACAAGATAAAGAATACTTGGGATGTCAATATTTTGTCTGCATGAACATCCCAAGATTTCTACATGTTACATATTAATCTGTATTTCACACAGATAAAGAGTATTAAACTGTTCCTGGACTAATTTACTTCAAATTATGGGCAAACCCTACAGAAAATGAAATATAAATCATCATACAAATATCATATAGAAATGTAACTCAGGTTTGTCTCACTGGTGAGTGGAGAGGAAATAAAGAAACACTGCACCCTCCTCTTTAGGAATAATTTAACCTCCCCGTTTGGGTGACCTAGGACCCGATTGCTTCCCATCATGGCAATAGACTGCTAAGCACAACTTTAGCTGTGTTTCTTGGCAGTTGTGTACTCCCTCACCTGTAGATTTGGTGGGCCCAACAGCAGGGAGCAGGGGAGTGTCATCCAGTGGAGAGGGAGCCTTGTCAGACCGGTGCTGGGCAGATGCTGTCTGGTCTCGCTGGATGTCATTGATGGTGTCAAAGTGGCCTCTGCTTTCATTGGAGGTGCTTGCAGGGTTGTGAGATACCACTGGTACCAAAGGTGGCTGTGTGAAGAGGAGGAGCAATCTCATCCAACAATCATATCCTCAGGGAGCAACATCCAATTTAGACCATCTCATCTGAACTCTACAACTCTTACTACGCTGGTTTTGGGAGGAAAATGTTTCCCCAGAAAATGGATGAGTCATGGATAAGGCAGACTTGCTATTGTCTGCTATGATACAACCAGTTACAGAGAGTAACCCAAAAAATTTTTTATTTGTGGGGGAAGATGGAGCTACATCTGTAAAAGTCCATCCTTCCTTTGCCTGGTGCTCTCCACAATACATCTGGAAAGCATGAAATTGGTGAAGGCTAGTTTGTGAAGAAACCAAAAGGTCCCAACCATACAGCAGCAGTGCATTTGAAGAGCATTATGCCCCATAGAATAGTTGTGTATGTTTGTTTCTAAACAATATTTAAGGAAGTAGATGATTCAAATGAAAGCAAAATCTGAAATGTGGAGGGGGAAGACTTTTGCTCATCCCACCCTGGTGGTCTGTAAACAGATTAACTTGGAATGCCACAAATGTGGGTGGTACAAATCACATCGGCTTTCACCCTCTGATTACTGTCACACAGGCTTCCTGTGGGTTCATAGGAGTTGATGGATAACACAGTGCAACAACTTCTTTTGGATGGGGGCAATTTATTAAGAAAACATATGAAGGCTAATGGCACCAATTAGTCTTCCCCAGTCTAGCTCTGGAAGCAGAACTTACATTTAGCTATCTGTGTTTCAGTGTTTGCTTCCAGTAATGCTTCCACATGGTTTTTAAATCGCAGAGCAAACTGAGTGTCATAATCTTAAGTTTTCTCTCACTGCATGTATGCTTGCAGCTATAATGTTATTTTAACAGAAATCTCCAAACAGTTATTTTGAATTGCTCAGGAAAGGGAAAAGTATATGCTGGCCAGTGTCTATTTTCTGTCAACCCAGGAAAAGATTTCTGCCTTGGCTGTGATATGTCTTTCCTTTTATCTTCTTCAATCCCTCAAATCAGTTGAGTAGAAAAAACTCCTCTGAGCATCCTTCTTTTTGGATCTTCATTGAGTTCAATGATATCCAATGGGTGGCTGGGGACCAATCAACAAGAATGGTGGCTGGTGCATTGTACTGCAAACCCTGTCCCTTCTAAATCTATACATGACACATTTGCAAAAGGTAGCAGTTTTAACTATGATGCTTCATCTGCTACCTTATTGATTTGACACTAGTAAAATTGCCAAGTAAAAACTTCCAATGTCATCTAACAGTTCTCTTTATCAATCTTCTTTGGAATTGTTATCATACACACAAGTCTTCAGTAATATAACACTGCCCGGTCCAATTTAAGTTGATTAGCCTTGATTACTCTTCATGAAAACAACAAATCCAGTGTTTCCCAATCTTGGGAAAGCTTTCTCAGCTTTTAAGATGTGTGGACTTCAGTTCCCAGAATTCCCCAACAATGTTGGAAGTTGAACTCCACAAATCTTAAAGTTGCCAAGATTAAGAAATTCTGATCTAAATGCATCTTATTTTAGATTCTTCCAGACATTACACTTCTTCTATCAAAATTCTCCTTCTAATTCTTTCCAAATTTCTTTCTGGTGTTCTAAAAACTCTGTAAAGGCCGCTCAACTGCCCTTTCTTCTCCTGTGAGAAAGTGGGAAACTAAATTATCCATTCACTACTATGTAAACAGCCAGCAGGCTGCTGTGATTGAATGCAGGCTGTCACAATTACCATTTTATTTTCTCTGAACCTGGACTTATGCAGCAATGCAGCCCACCCAAAATTTCAGCAGGTAAAACTTTTTTCTTGCCAATGGAGATACAATTAGCTGTGAGAAAATCTTTCTGCACCCTTGCTCTTATGCTGTCTAGCCAGAAAAATATTTTAATTCAAACCGTTATAAATATGGCCCTAGAAAATCCTGGAGTCACCTCAACACAGGTTTGAATTTTGCTCCAACCTCATTGAGTTCCTAGGTTTGATAAAGAGAGGGTGGTTGTTGCACAAAGCAAGGTTTGCAGTTGAAGCTGGAATAAAGTTGTCTTAAGAGCTGAAAATAAGACAGAGTTTAGGTTAGATTAAGTTAGGTTAGGTTTTCCTGTTATTTGAATTTCTGGCTTCCTGATGTACAAATCAGAGGTGGTATTCAGCAGGTTCTGACCAATTCTGGAGAACCGGTAGCAGAAATTTTGAGTTGTTCGGAGAACTGGCAAATCCCACCTCTGACTGGAAATTTTACAGTATCCTTCCCCTGCTACGCCCACCAAGCCACGCCCACAGAACTGGTAGTAAAAAAAATTGAATCCCATCACTGGTACAAATGTGTAGCTTTTGAAGACATGAGATAAAGGGGTACAAAAAACTTTATCATTCTAAGGTTGCTGTTAAGGCAGGGAAACACACTCATGCATTTGCACACCTAAAGATAACCAAAATATTCCTCTGCAGGATTTTGTTTTAAATACCCAGGAGACTCCACGATCAGGCCTGGCTTGAATATATTTCTCATTCCATGAGAAAAATGGGATTCAGAAAAGAAATGGAAAACTGAAGATGGTTCTGTGAAAAGCAGAGTGGCAACTGCTGCAGAATGAAGAGTTGACAAGTACAGGTGAAACTCGAAAAATTAGAATATCGTGCAAAAGTTCATTTATTTCAGTAATGCAGCTTAAAAGGTGAAACTAATATATGAGATAGACTCATTGCATGCAAAGTAAGATAGTTCAAGCCGTGATTTGTCATAATTGTGATGATGATGGCTTACAGCTCATGAAAACCCCAAATCCACAATCTCAGAAAATTAGAATATTACATGCAATCAATAAAACAAGGATTGTACATAGAACAATGTTGGACCTCTGAAAAGTATAAGCATGCATATGGACTCAGTACTTGGTCTGGGCCCCTTTTGCAGCAATTACTGCCTCAGTGTGGTGTGGCATGGAAGCTATCAGCCTGTGGCACTGCTGAGGTGTTATGGAAGACCAGGATGCTTCAATAGCGGCCTTCAGGACACTTCCGGTTTGTCGGCTTCGGTGACAGCAGGGATTCGCCTTCTCTGCGATCCCTGCTGTGCTAGCTGCCTTGGTGCCTCCGATCCTGACGAATTTGGAGGCTAAGGCTGCCCTGTTGGGGCAGCTGAAGAAAGGGGGGATCTGGACGGGGGTGAGGAGCATCGCAACCCCCCCGCCAGCTGGCAATAACCCCCTTCTCTCAAGACGGTGGAGCGGCGGTCTTTATGGCCGCCATAAAGAAGCCGGCAACTGGATAAAGAATGCGCAGGAGGAAGAAGGAGTTTTAAAACGAAAGTTTTTTCTTGGTCGAACTGGGACCTTAAGGACATATTTAACACCTGGGAAAGTATTGGCTTGGAAGCTATAATGTTCCCGATTGATGTTTTCAGCTGCGAAGAAAAGTGACGAAAAGGGGAAGTTACTCTCCCTCCCGTATGGAATTAACAAATGGACAAGGGAAACCAGCCTTTTGATAGAAGGTAAAACCTAAACTCCTTTGTTATAAGTGGGAAGGGAGAGGCTTGGGAAAACAAATTTTTACTCTAAGACTTTGCTGGAGGAGATGCCTTGAAGATAAAGAGAATAGAAATTAATTCTAAGAAAGATTTAAAGCACAGATTGGACGTTTCTTCTTTCCCTAATTTGACTTCACCCCTAGAAGAGAAACTGTAAAAAGAAGCTTGTACTCTGCCTGGACTGTTTGATGACTGTGGGATTTTGGGACTTTTGGGAACTGTTTTAAATTTGGAAATAACTGATTGGCTTAATAATAAGAAGAGGATACAGAAAGAGAAGAAGAAACAGTTCAAAATGGCTCTATCTCTTGATGAACTAAAAAAACAATATTTAAAAATAAAGAAAGAAGGCAAAGATGTTATGGGAGAAGCCCTTTGTTTTCTAGATATGGCGCTTGTCATGTGTCAGCAAATTAAACAACAGCTGGAAGAAGCCGAGGAAGAAGAAGCCATTTTTAATGAACTAAACGGTGTGACTAAGAAAGAAAGGAGAAAGAGAGGAGCGAAAAGGAAGGACTTAAGAAATAAAAAAATGTTTATGAAAGAGAAAAAGAAGATGCAAAAACAACAGAATGCTAGAAAGCAAAAGGAAAGAGGAATGCAAAAGAAAGGGGAAATCAAGAAGGCAGAGGTTTGGAGAGGAGGGGGTAAAAAGTTTAGGCGGGCTAAGAAGGAAAGGGAAAAGGGGGAAAAAAGTTACAAAGGTATAAAACAAGATGGAGAAAAGGAAAAAATTTTTTAGGGATAATGGGTAATATATGGGATTTTTTTTTAAAAAAAAGGGGGATTCTGCAAAGTACACATGAGTATTGTAATAGTGGTATTTGTATTATAAGTAGATAATCAGAACTTTTTAAGATCTAATAAAAGACTAAAATATCAAGGTATAACTTTAAAAGGTTTAATAATGAATGATAATAAGTTTTAATAAAATACTAAAGGGAATGTTTAAAATATTAGTTTAAATATAGAGTTTAATGGATTAATGCGACTGTTATGGATTTATTATTGTAGTATTGGTTTCTGAAATAGTAGAATGTACTAAGCAGAATCTGATTGGGATTTAGGTGTTATTTTAAATTTTAATTTAGGGGAATGATAGAAAGGCATCATACTCAGATTAGTGATTCCAGGGGAAGCTATTCTTTTTTAAATTGGAAATGAGACAGATGTAAATGGAGAAATGGACAAAAGATATAAAAATATTTTTCTTTAAAGCAAGATTAAATATATAAAACAGAATTAAGATGAGGCAAAAGTGGAGAGGAGTTATATAATAGATATAGAATGGTAAATAAGATGGGTAATGGTATATAAGAAGAGCATGAATTCAATTGAAGTCCATACAAAAAGAGGTAATCTGGGGCCAAGTTACTTTCTAGAAGAAAGTTTTATGTTTTTATGTTTATGTCTTATGTGTGTGTGTTTAATTAAGAATTAAATAATAAAATCTCGGAGGGAGACTAGATGAGAATAATTATAAACAAGCCAGAGGAAAATATAAATGTGATGACTGAATAGCAGATAAATTAGAAAGGAAATATGATTGAATAATGATTAAAGAGAAACAATGTGGAATTTGGTAAAGGGAATTTACGTGTTTATATGGAAATGGGATAAATTATAAGTACGTGATATAAAGCAATATGTTACCTGCCTTGTAAAGATCTACAATGGAAAGAGGTTTTATGTTTTTAATGTTTAATGATGTTTTGTTTTGTTTGTTTGTTTGTAAAATCAATAAAACTTGTTTAAAAAAAATAGCGGCCTTCAGCTCTTCTGCATTGTTCAGTCTCATGTCTCTCATCTTTCTCTTGGCAATGCGCCATAGATTCTCTATGGGATTCAGGTCAGGTGAATTTGCTGGCCAATCAAGCACAGTAATCCCACGGTCATTGAACCAGGTTTTGGTGCTTTGGGCAGTGTGGGCAGGTACCAAGTCCTGCTGGAAAATGAAGTCAGCATCCCCATAAAGCTCGTCTGCAGAAGGAAGCATGAAGTGCTCCAAAATCTCTTGGCTGCGTGGACCCTGGACTTAATGAAGCATAGTGGACCAACAGCAGCAGATGACATGGCTCCCCAAATCAACACAGATTGTAAAAACTTCACACTGGACTTCACGCATCTTGCAGTGTGTGCCTCTCCATTCTTCCTCCAGATTCTGGGTCCTCGGTTTCCAAATGAGTTGCAAAAGTTGCTCTCATCAGAAAAGTGGACTTTGGAGCACTGAGCAACAGACCAGTTCTTTTTTTTCTTTAGCCTAGGTAAGATGCTTCTGATGTTGTTTATTGTTCAGGAGTGGCTTGACAAGAGGAATATGACATTTGAAGCCCATGTCCAGGATCCATCTGTGTGTGGTGGCTCTTGATGCACTTGTTATGAATATAAGTCACCTAACAGGTATTTGGGTTAGAAATATATAAACCAGGATAAACATATTAAAACTGTATCTTAAAGAAAATGCAAAACTGTAATTGGGTGTGGTTTCTAAAACGTCCATAAAATGGAGCCAGAAACGTAGGTAGTCTTAATCTCAGAAGAGAGTGTGTCTCAGTCTCTGTTTCCTTCTGTTGGAGAGTATTGCCGTTCCTCCATTTTTCCTAATTGACTGCTATTTCTGGATTTGATGTAAGTCTGATACTGAACTGTTTTTGACACTGGACTTTGTTACTGGATTATCCCTGGATTGAAAACTGACTGAACTTACCTGTGAATGATTTTGGACTGCTTATTTTGAACTTTTCTTAAATCTTTATTGAAAGTAAAACCCTACATTTACAGTACAGTGTATCTGTGTGCTGTGTGTGCATTATTCAAATACTACTCTCTATACGTCTCCCTGTGTGCACTCATTCTCCTAATGGGGAATTACCTCAATAGCACTGACTCCAGCCTCAGTTCACTCCTTGGGAAAGTCCCCAACACTTTTGAGTGGCCTTTTCCTGACAATCCTCTCCAGGCTGCGGTCATCCCTGCTGCTTGTGCACCTTTTTCTTCCACACTTTTCCCTTCCACATAACTTTCTATTAATGTGTTTTGATTACAGCACTTTGGGAACATCCAACTTCATTTGCAATTACCTTTTGAGTCTTTCCCTCCTTATGGAGAATGTCAGTGATGGTTTTCTGCACAACTGTCAGGTGAGCAGTCTTTCCCATGATTGTGATTCCTAATGAACCAGACTGAGAGACCATTTAAAGGCTCAGAAACCCTTTGCAGGTGTTATGGCTTAATTAGCTGATTAGAGTGGGACACTTTGAGCCTAGAATATTGAACCTTTTCACAATATTTTAATTTTCTGAGATTGTGGATTTGGGGTTTTCAAGAACTGTAAGCCATAATCATCTCAATTATGACACATCACGGCTTGACCTATCTTGCTTTGCATGTAATGAGTATCTCATATATTAGTTTCACCTTTTAAGTTGCATTACTGAAATAAATGAACTTTTGCACAATATTCTAATTTTTTGAGTTTTACCGGTAGATTGGCTCTTTGACAATTTCTCTAGAAACAAGGAGAGGACTTGAGATCACCCACAAGTACCCCAGACAATTGCTTTTCATATAAGGAGGTTGCAAGACAGGGGTCTTTGGCAGGTTTAGAGTTCTGAGAGACAAGGGAATGGCATCTTTGTCCAAAGCAACTTGGTGTCTTTAAAAGGACAGTGGTTTTACGTACAGTATTTCCTTTTCTAATCACACTTTTGGAAATTGCTTGTTAATTAGTTTTTGACTATTAGAAATCTTTGGATAGTCAAGCCTGAAAACACCAGGCAAGTTTCCTTCAATCCTTAGCAAAATAAATTTAAATACAAATTTAAGGACTTAAACTGTTGAGTTTTCTGCCCCCAAAAGCAGCAAAAGGCTAATTAAAACTTTGATTCTGGAAAGTTACAAACAGGCTAATGATCCAGATGGATTTGAAATAGGGTTTTGAAATTATAAAAATCCTTCTCCTAGGAAAATACTTTTTGTTTGATTTTTTAAAAAAACAACAATAAGACTTTAAAAATGGTATACTAGAGGGAGCCAGAAAGAACTAAATATCACAAAGAGTTAATTTTAAGAGTGTTTGCCTCTGTATATAGACTGTATTTAAAAAGTGCTATAGAAATTATCTGACTTGATTGAGGCTGATCTGAAAATGCGTTTTAAAATAACTTGTTACATTAATGACATGGAAAGAGATGTTATACCGGACATACACAAGAAACCAGCTAATGTCATAATAATTAAAAGGGATAAACAAATAATAAACCAAGAGAGTGACCTAGATAATTTCCCTATATTGGGTTTACAAAAGAGCCTTATTAAACGTATGAAGAAGTTTTCTGACAAGAGACAAATAAGTAAATAAATAAATAAGATTCAAGTCTTAGGACATTATGTATCCAACATAAACAAACAAATATTGACTAAAGTTCAAGACTGTAAAAAGTAAAATGCAGGAATATAAAGTTGATTTTTTTGATCAAGGTTAAAATAGATACATTGTTAATCCCTAATGGGTTTTGCTGACATCAGGACTGAAACGAGGCAATTGTATGGGTTTGCTTATTTTCCAAGGAGAAAATATGATTTTACAAAATTCCAGTTTCAAATTAAAAAATCAGCTACCATTATCCTCATAATCCCAAAACCGTGCTTCTTTCTACCCTTCCTTCCCTCTTGTCCTCTCTCTGGTTCCTGAGTCCCAATTCCCTCTGGCCAGTACCTGTGGGGGCACTTCCCTGCCCGTCCTTGCTTGCTGGCACTCCCTCTCTAGGTGGCTGATGAGGGCACTCTGATTGTTGACAAGAGCAGCCAAAGCATTGTACTTCCCCTCCAGTTGACGATAACTGGCGGCCACCCGTGCGGCTTCAGCAGAAGCATTGGCTACACGCCATTCCAGCAGAGAGGTCTGCACTGGCCGTTCTCGTCGTTGAAGGATCTCATGAAGCAGCTGAGTGTAGAGCTGGGTCACCCGGGCATTGACATTGCGGCTTTCCTTGCGTAATGCCTTAACCTCGCTCACCATGGCTCCATCTACCTCTACCAGTCGCCGTAGTTCATCCATTTGGGCCTGCTGTCGGCTCATCTGGACATGGAGCTCTTCCACCTCACTACGGTTGAGACCTGGAGGTTCAGGGGGAGGACGTACACTGCTCCAGCACACTGCTCCCGTGAACTTCTGCTGGGGCAAGATGAAGGTGTAGGTACATCTTGGTCCAGTGATTGGTTCAGGACCTGAGAGAATTGGCCTGGCTAGGCTCAGTAACAGCAGCACCAACACTGAGGACCAAGTCTCCATACTTGTGGGGGGAAAGGCAAAAGCCGCCAGAAGGGTGGATCGGAAACAAGTCCTCCTCTCAGAAGACCTACAAAGCAGAGGATGACAACTTCAAACCTAGTAAAGCCTTAGCAGCAAAGAATGCACAATAAAACCACCTGCTTACATAAATAATACAAAACTTGCATTGGGCTTTCCCTTGGGCTTTTTCATTATCATAACTCATGAGAGGAGAAAACTCCACCTACTTACATGTCAGCATTTGGAGCCAACTAAAAACAAAACTGATGCAAGTCTGACATGTGAGATGGCTCAATTTCTTGGACATCTCTCTTCGGTAAGTGAGAAACAACCAAGAGAGAAACTCTGAAGGGTGTTTCCATCTTACAAACTTCACGATTGGCAAATAGCCAGCTTAGATTTGGATCAACATTGCAATGGGGTTTGAGAGGGAAGGAGAGCAAGAGATAAACCCTGGACAGATGGGGCTTCTAGTTCCTGTGTAAACAGAGTATCCACTCCCAGGACTCTTGGGCAGTTCCATCTGGATTTTATCACAGCTTCTTTAACCCCCACCCCTTCTCATGCTGGCTTTCAAGAACAGAAGGGATTAAAATAGCTGCGGGTATTTATTGTTAGAAGTGGGAGAATTGGAACCAGCCAACATGAGTACTTTCAGACAAGTCGGTTAAGAAAAGGACAGAAAATCATTACACTGTCTTCCACTCTCTGTCAGCCAGCTATTGCATAAAGTTACTCAGAGTAAGTCTGAATGAATGCAAAAAGACACGAGATTCTTGCAAAACTCAGGAAGTCCTTGTAGGCATTAAATTTTTAGTTTGAACATAGAAGACTAAATGAACATAAGGTCTTAGCTATGAGAGCTAGTAGTTATTAACACCAGTGGGAATCTCCCATTCGCCAAAATAATTTCAAGCAGTTCAGTCCAATTTTTTCCCCAAGATATATCTTGCAAAAGATCAGATACAAGCCAGTTACAGCTGTAATCCCATGCACTTGCTTTCTAAGCCACATTTAATTAGCCACACACTGCACAATAAAAGTCAAAAATTTGCATTTAATGTATTTTACCTTCAGGTTTTTTAAGCATCCGCTGAGAAGGGACTGATCACTATTTAGTTTATATCTGAAACAGAATTTTAACACACCTTTCTCAAGTGGCCTTGAGGAAAATACTCTGAAACCCATACAGGTAGTCCTTGATTTACAATCATCCATTTAGTGACTGTTCGTTACAACAGCATTGAAATAAGTGATTTATGACGTTTTTCATTCTTACCACCTTTGCAGCCTTCCCTTGGTCACATGATCTAAATTCAGCTATTTGGCAACTAACATGTTTGTATGACAGCTACATTGTCCTGAGGTCATATGATCACCATTTGTAACCTTTCTAGCTGGTTCCCAGCAAGCAAAGTAAACGGAGGAAGCCAGACTCATTTAACAACTGCATGATTCACTTAACAACTGTGGCCAAAAAATGGGGCAAAACTCCATTAACAATCCTTTGTCTTGTTTAGCAGCTGAAATCTTGGGTTCAATTTGGTCGCAAGTCAAGGACTTCCTGTATTTGCTTAGAGGAAAATTGCTCTATTGGTGCCATTGGCCAATATACTTCTCTCAAATATCAAAGGATTTTTTTTTCTCCTCTTTCAAAAACTGCAGCACAGGAGCAAAAGCACTGAATTCCAGCCCTTCCCCTAATATACTTCTTGTCTCTAATTCCAGTCATCAGTTGTCATTAATTTGATAGTATTTTCATGGAAACATTATCTTATACATTAGATCATGTATACATTAAAGGGGAAGATGCATTTAATATTGCACCATTTAGCAGCTTTTCTTGAAATGTGGTCATAGGATCTCTTGGAGGGGTCCTCAAAACCTCTCAGAGGTCTGAGAAATCAAAATTATTTGCCAATCTATATTGAAAAATAATAAACACTAAAATCCCATCATGCAAATGTGAGAAGCACTAGTGGTAGTGTGAACATGTGAATTTTAAGTTTTAATATGATAATTATCAATAAATGGAAGCCATACAATCAAAAGTTCTTTTGGGGTCTTCCATCATTTTTAAAAGTGGGAAGGAGTCCTGAGAGTTTAAGAAATGCTGCTCTAAGACAATCTTTTCTTCTGCCTTTGGCATGAGCTTCCGAACCAGCTGCCTCCATGTTTCCAAATTCCTAACCTCAATTTCAATGAATCACATAAAATCTGTGAATCGAAATGTAATAGATATTTGTTTCAATACACCGTATGGTACATCTATGGTTTTAACAAAATCCAGAGGGGAAAAGCACAGCATTAAGTATGTACTAAGTAATGTATTAAAGGCAGCTTTAACGTGAAACTTAAAGTAAAGCATAGCAAGGCTGGAAATCAAAACATTATAGTGTCAAGTCTCACTTTGTTTCACCCATAGATCAACAAAGGTTGCAGTCCTAAACATACTTATTTGAGAGAAATCATTATTAAGTACAGTTGTATTTATTTTGAGAAATGTAAATAAAATTGCATTAATCTGGCTTTAGGGCTATAATAAATTTGAATTGATAGAAGAGAATATTTGTTGGGTTGAACTTTGCACTCTATGTATGTAAAATGTAAAATGTATGTATAAAAATATGTAAAATGACAGCAAACTCCACTCCCTAATAGAACTCATGATGTTACCTAGTTTGTTAATGAAACATCTGCAAGAAAACAACCAAGCTCAGAGAGCACCAAGGACTCCATAAATTTGAAATGAATTCAAATTGTATTAAAATAATCCAATTTTGCTTGTCAAAAAACAGAAGAGGGTGCTTATGAGCCCCTCCAGTGTGTATTGATAATAAGAAAGCATTTTTTTAAAAAAATCACATTATTCCTGTAAAGCACATACAGAGTATCATTGTCTTGGAACTGAATATTTCCTTCCAAGATTCTGCATGAGAGTAAAGGTACCTCTTAAACAAAAGACAGTTTAGTAACATGATGAAAGGCAGTGGGAGACTTTTTGATTTAGTCTGCCTTAGGCATGAATCCAGCTACATGACTTTTGGGCCAACCATTTTCTCTCAACCTAATGAAAAAGGCAACAGAAAACAAATTACAGTATGTTGTGACTCAACATCATCTTAAATAAGATTCAGTCCATTTTTAAAAAAAATTCATAATAATGATAATGACAATGAAGTCTGTATGGCGGATAGCATCTGGAGAATATAAATTATTATTACCTTTATTGTCAGAGTACAGTAAAGTACAAGGGAAGTACTTGTAAATAATAATAAATAATGTACAGAGTACAAGGGAAAAAAGAAGAAGAAAAAGGGCAAAATTGAAAGACCTGAAAATAAAATGATTTTACCAATAGTAATAGGCGCTTGGAGTGCAATTCCAAAACAACTGGAGCACCATTTGAACACCATCCACATTGACAAAAATCACCCTCAGTCAATTCAAGTGAGGGTACTTGGAACAGCTTACATCCTGTGACAAGACGCTTGACACCATCAAGCAACAATATCTGGAAAGGAAAGGACTTGGAAATTGGAAAGGACTCGATATGTGGATAAAAATGCCTAATACAGTCTGAATATCTAGCTGATTTCTGTGATGAATCATAATAGAGGCAGTCCTCTACTTACAATTGTTCACTTAGTGACCGTTCAAAGTTACACCGCCATTGGAAAAAGTGACTTATGATCATTTTTCACACTTTCACACTTATGACCGTTGCAGCATCCCCAATCATGATCAAAATTCAGATGGTTGGAAACTGACTCACATTTATGACAGTTGCAGTGTCCTGGCATCAAGCGATCAACTTTTGCCCCTTTCTGACAAGCAGAGTCAATGGGGAAACCAGATCCACTTAACAAACTGTGTTACTAATTTAACAACTGCAGTGATTCATCTAACAAATGTGTCAGGAAAGATCCTAAAAGGGGGGAAAACTCACTTAACAAGTTTTTCCCTTAGCAACATACATTTTGGGCTCAATTGTGGTCATAAGTTGAGGACTACCTTGAATCTACACATTGACAAAATTTCCATCTATCAATTGTAAAAGATTATACTCTTAGATTTTGCAAAGATACTATGTTGATGCATTACAACATCTTAGGTTCTTGGAAAGAATTTGATGAATATTAGCTAAAGAATTGGCAGCTGTGACTTCACATTGTTATGAGCAGATAATAATAATAATTTATTATGTATATCTGCCTTCCATTATGCATGCTGAGATATTCTCTTTCACATATTTATAAAATGAACTGACCAAACTCTAAACAGACCTAGAATTGCTACCCAGGGGAAATTTATTTAATTATTGTACCAGTGAGTTGTTTTCAACTCTAGCAATCCCATATTTTTTTTTTTTTGCTGTCCAATAACTTGGTGGTTCTCAACCTTTTCTTCACTGTGCACCCCATTTAAATATTTTTTTGTGGCCATGGACCATGGTCACAGACCCCAAAGACTTAACTCAAAATATTAAATCATAACATTTCTTCAAGCTTTCACAGAGCCCCTGTGATGACATCACGGAGCCCCAAGGGGTCTGCAAACCACAGGTTGAGAACCCCTGCAATAACTTATATCCTGCCTCTTTTTAGGCACCTAGGTACCTCTAGGTAAAATAAAACCATGTAAGGCCACATAAAGCAAAGGTTCAAATCACCAAAATAAAACCCATTATATTGGAGTCTAAACATTTTATGAGTCCTCCTTGAATTGGCTGCATCCATTTAACCTGCCCTGAATCCCTGAAGGAAATGACTTGACTTGAGGTATTCCAGAAAGAGCAATGTAACTTCATCGATATGCAATTAGGATGGATGGGTAAGGTAGAATTCCTTAGTGAAGGGCCTGCCCATTGAGAAGGTCAAATTCCTGGCTCCCTCTCCTTTGACCTTTCCTGAAAGATGGTTTCTCAGTCTGTATACCTTAACCCACCTGTTACAGATGGGCAGACTGGTTCAGGTACAAATGTTGGTATCAGTTCAATAGTTTACTGTCATTTGAATTCCTACTTCTGAACAGAGAATTGAGCCTGTAGGATGTAGGATTGGGGAGAAGCAATCAACACTGTTACCAATCTGCCACCAACTCCATATGAGACAACACCATACAAGCAATGGCATGGAAAGAAGTGCAGCCAAGGACACTTTCAAGAGTTGAGTCCACGTCCTCATTGTTTGGATATGGAAAGCTAATTTCCTACTAATTAGTTTCATCTTACTCAATTTCATTTGGTGGTGAAGATTAAACAGCTTTGCACTCCCCCGCCTACACACAATGTTTTTAAACGGAATAGATTATTTCCTGCATAGACTGCTCCTTGTCCACAAAGCTTCTCTGAACCAAAAGGCAAAAGGAATAAAAAATAACCCGCATTAATTACCTTGACAGTTTTTTTGAAATTGCTGGAGAAGGACTTCTGTGTAACTTCTCCTCTCAGTCTATTATTCAATGTCCCACTTCTTACCTGTGTGCTGGTCACCTCCGCGTCCAAAATAATCCTGCAGCTGTTTCGTGGCATGAACCCACGTCCTTTGCTGAAGCAGGGAATAGAGCCCTCTAATCCCAGACTTCAACCCCTCGTCAGACCCCGTCTGTCTCTCGCATCAATGCGCTCTGCCAGTGCCAGGAAAAAGTGTTAAATTCCTTGTGCTGCACACTGCAGACCATCAGGATATGATTTCCAGCTTCCTCTTCAGGCAGTCATAGAACTGTTTATAATAAGAATTAAAGGCACGGAGTGTGTTCCCTTCCCCTTGTTGCTCTCCAGATAGTTTGTCAAATTAACCCTTTTTCTGCATTCACATGATATTCTGAATTGTGGAGCAGGCAAATGGGTTGGGTTTTCACAACTTTTTCCCTCTCTCTCATGTAACTAACCAAATGAGCGCACTGTATAAAGATAGCCACTAGGTCATTAGATACCAAGTGTAGCATGTGGTATTTCTTAACTTACAATGGTGAACGTGATCAGACTTTTCATTGCTATGTGATGCAGCCATAAAGTGTGCAGGAAGTGATGATCTGGGCAGGGAATTCCAGAGAAGGGTCATAACCACCACATGATAACTTTATAACTGGCCACTGAATGAATAGTAAGTCAAAGCCCCGAATGTAAGTAAATATATGTTTGTGTACCCCTAGGCATCTATTCTATTTGGGAGATGAAGAGCACATCACCTAGAACACAGATGTCAAAGAGAAGGAAAGACAAGGGAAACAAAAAGTTTGAAGAGCACCCAATTGGAAAAACCTGTCCTAGTGGCCCATGCTTCTTAGATTAAGTGCTCTCTGTTTTTTTTTTCATTTCAGGTAACAAAGTGTCATGCTCAGGTAAACTCATCTAAGGAAGAGATATACATATCAGGTAAAATTTGCTCTGTTTCAATCTTGATCGAAAACAATTTCTGATGCAAACATTAAACAGATGATTTGGAAAGGTAAGTTAGACTTACATTGTCCGTCGTCGGTGATCCCTTGGGAGATGTCTTCCATTTACCTTTCTTTTGCATTTAAATACCCTCAAGAGTCCTTCCAGTCAGTTGATACATTTTTGCAGTCTTTTCTTTTTAAGCAACATGGATCCTAACATGGATCTGCTAGGAATGAAGCGTCCAAATTTACCCCCACCGGTTTTCTTGTAAATCCCTGCCTTAAATCTTGCATTCTCTAAATGTCCAGATTTATTTCCATGGAAAAAAAATGAAGCAAGCCTTTAGTGCTGCAGTTCTCAGTGGGAGCCAGTATGTGCCCACAGCAACCGCCTTTGGCATTCATTAGGTTCCCTTCCCTCCTCTTCATTTTTTATTTGATTGTGTTTTAATTGGGAAGTATCCTGGAGTTGACAGACCCTGGCTTTGATCTTATTTGAGGTTTGGAAGCTAAGCAGTGTCGGGCTTCAATAACATCTGCATGGGAGACTACCAGGGAATAGTAGAGCTGTAGACTAGACTAGGAAGTAGAAAAACATCTGGACAAGACAAGAGCAAAGAAACAGATAGATGAGCTTCATTGCGAGACCTTATGCTTTCCTTCAAGGACATGAAAATGTGGGGTGTTCCTCTAAGCTTCTGCCAAAGTGGATACGGTTCAGTTTTGTAGGGGCAAATCTGTGAATTGATTTTAAACCTCAGACTTTATTCCTCACTTTCTTGACCAAATTATACCTGGGGGTTCGGTGATCTTGGTTTTCTTCTTGCAGCTCTGGGAAACTAGTATCCAAGCATTTTAACCTTGAGCTAGACAAATTCTCCACTATTGCAAATTATTTTCAGACTCCTTTAGTCAGCTCTGGTCTAGGTAGGATGGTGCTGTTGGGAATATAACATCTACAGTTTAAAAAAAACAGTTTTCCGAAGAATTGAAGCCACCTCTGCCCTGATCTCTGCTCTTTATCAATTTATTTGGCTCTTAGCCTCATGAGTTTGGTGCTGGGAAAGGTGTATTTTGTAAATAGCTCATTTGTGAATGGAAGCATTTTCTGGCAAACTCTAACAAATAAAATTGCCTTAAAATTTCAGATGTCTCTCTGACCACAAATGTTGTGGATGTCTCTTTAAAGAGTCGTACAGTGAGAAAATCTCCAGTGTAAATAGCTCTGTGATGCTCTCCCTCTCTCCCTCTCCCTCTCTCTCTCTCTCTCTCCCTCCCTCCCTCCCTCCCTCTCTCTCTCTCTCTCTCCAGATCTGCTCCTTCTTTGAAACCAATTGTTTTCACCAATGAACATAAATTGTGTATGAATGCAAGTACTTCCATCCCTGTGTAAACATAAAAGGAAGTGGCCATTTTTCTTTTTGCCTTTATCAGAACTGCATTGGAAGGATATGAAAAAAGAAAATTGAAAAAATAAGATGCAATGCTGCTGTTGAAGAGGAGCTGAAAGAGTCTCATGCTGACAAGGAAGTAATGTGTGGTCCTTTGTGTCTCACCTTTTGAATTTGTTTAAAGCATGTTTATTTTCTTGATAGAATTTATACAGTACAAATTGGCATTTATTTTACATTAGAAGACTTACCTTGGATTTATTGTTTGCTGAAGCTGCCCTTAATTTTTTTCCCATACATTTTTCCCATACATGTCCCAGGGAGTGAATCAATCACTTATGCCTATTTTAAACCATGACATGCTTGGGATAAAAATGAACGGCTTGGCTACACTGGTATGATAGATAGCACTGAGTGATGGAGAATCCAGCTCTGAACAACTGAACTTAAAGAATATTTTTTTCCAGATCTTCACTAAACTGTTCTAGAACTGGCCCCCTCACTGTGTTTTTGCTGGCAATGAGATAAACCAAATTACCTCATTCAATCCTGGCAAAGGATATCTCAAAGAGTGGTAATTCCCAATAACTCGGTCTGTTAGGCTGGGTTGCTATGACTTTAACATAGAACATTGATTTAAGCATGGAAATCTACAGGTTTCTTTTGCTTTATGTGAATTTGTTATTTATGCAATTTATAATTTTCATCCAAGAATTTGTTTTTATGCAAAAATACTAAGCAATTTGAGCCAAAGGTCTGAAACATGCCAAAACTACTTCTTCCCCAAAACTTGAATATTTTCCCTCCAAAACCTCTTTCGGCTCTCAGTCATATGTTTACTATTATGTTGTACAATTGTTCTAGTTGTGTGTTCTGTCCCCTACTTATTTCCATTGTTGCAATAGTTATAAGTCAGGTCCTTTCATTTTGATTTTTGGAGGCCTTTGAGATTTTAAAATGACTGATGACAAGAATGAATAGTTTCAATGGTAAGTAATGCTGTTACTTTAAATGAAAGAAGACAGCCATATGGATGTCATCACGTAAATCAGCCACTAGGTCAAACAAGTTTTTATTTTCAGTATCTTGCAGATTCCAGTTCTTCCTCTTTCTTTTTTTTTTTTCTGCTAAAGGGGAAATAATACATTTCTCCTGTCACTTTTTGATAACTAGTTCCTTTCTGTTTATATCTCAATGGAATTTCACAACTGAATGTTCTAGATCAACCTTAAGGCCCCCTAGACATCAATTTCCATCATTCTGAGATGTTATGAAAGGAATAACATCCAACACATTTGAAGAGTACCCAGTTGGAAAAACCTGTCCTAGTGGCCCATGCTTCTTAGATTAATTGCTCTCTGTTTTTTTCATTTCAGATAACAAAATGTTTGTTTTTGCTATCGCCACAAATCTTGCTTCACGTAGTGATATATTGTAGAGATCCATGGAAATGGCTTTGAGGGAAATGTTCTGAAAGCCACCAGAAAGACGAAAAGGGGAGAAACTTTCCTTTAGTCCTTGGAAAGAAGTAATATTAGAAAATATCTCAAGTTGGCTCCTCCTTTGCTCTTTGGTGCATAAGAGGAAGAGGAGGAAGAGCAAGACTCTGTTAATGTAGACTATCTCATAAAATGGAGTTCTAGTCTTTTTGTGGAGTCGATTCTAGACAACTTTGAATGGATGACAAGGATCTCCGGAAGCCTGAAATTTTTACAGGCTCGATCCAAAGCAATGAATATTTTTTTAAAAAAATTGACCTCCAATGCTATGAAAAAGTTCATTGACCATCAGGCTCATAGACCATGAACCATTATCTGTATGGAATGGAAAATTATACAGGCACACTTAAATGCAGTTCATTACAGGGCATGTGATTATGTTTGGAATTTTACTGATTGAGGTTTTGTCCATTCCACACAAAGCTGGGAACATTTCTTGCTAGCAGTGCATTGCCCTGAGTTTATTTTCTCAGACAGTGGAACATTCCTGTGATCCTGTGTCTAAAAAAGCCTTTCCTTGCATTTTAATAACTACCGGTAGTTATTTATACTGGCTAGATGTGGTTGTTCATATTTCTTCTTCAAAGCAATTATGGCAACACCCTAAACTATCACTGCTTATACTGTATTCTTCTGACTCTAGCTTAAAATGGGTGCATGAGAATTAAAAGTCTTGCAGTGAGATGGAAGTCAAACAATTTAAATTAATTAATAAACCAAAGACCTGGTAATTAAGTAATCATTGCTTGCGTTAACTTTTTTCCCCACAAATGCAGGATCTGTTTTTTTCAGATCAACCAAGTGGGGTGATAGTACATGTGGGCTGAGAGAATGACTGGTCCAAAGTCACCCAACTGGTTTTCATGGCTAAGGTGGGGTTAGAATTCACACTCCTGGGTTCTACACTGATGCCTTAACCACTAGACTAAACTGGTTTTCATTTGTTTGCAATAACATACCCATCTCTTATTAATTTCCTCAAAAAAGAGATGATTCTGGCAGCTCTGCATAACAAGTTGCCCTTGCAGAAATATCTCTAACATCAGAGAATGCAGAGGCTCTCTTCTTAAAGACACTGAGGTCATTGAAACAGATGACATGATACACAGCATAGGGGGAAAGATTTGGTACCCCTCCTCCTCCTTCCAAAATGCTTTATATAGAGATGCCTTTGAAGACAATGTGGAAACAGCAATTGAGGTAGTAGTTAACTACAACCCCAATAACCTGTGTAGTGCACATTATATTGGATTATGGTAGTCTTCAGATAGAATCCAAGGTATTAGTTTTATAACACCCTCCATTAGCTTTGGTTCCAGTGATCTTTAGGAGCATCTCCTCAATATGGAACCTACCTATCCTCTAGTCCATACTCATTCTGGGTCAGGATGTCCATTGTCTCCTATCCAGATGGGATGGGACTAGGGTCTTGGAGACAATGTTATTCTATGGCTGCCCTCTTTTATGCAACAGCCTATCTTGCTCCCCCTCCCACCCAGTTCAATTCTATCCTTTTGGAAAGCTGTGAAAACAAAATTCTTTCAATAGGCCTTTGAGAATTAACAACTGCTATTACTAGGATAT